ATAACGTCTTACTGGACCTTAGAATGGCTGGACTTAATGTACCTGAGAATAGTCAAAATACTTGGCGAGGTCAGACACAGGTCAGACACAGAAAGAGACACAACGATGAGGAAAGCCAGAAGTCAAGGATACCAAAAATCAGGGAAGTCAAAACGAAGCCAAAATCAAATACCAGAAAAACGAAATCAGTAACACACTCTCAGATAACCAGCTAGTGGAAACCATGACAGGGCAATGACAAAAAGGTAATTTGGGTTTAAATAACCCTCCTTAAGCTGTAATTGTCGGTTTCTGACCTCTGACCCCAAAACGTGCGTGTGCGTCTATGACGTGATGTCGCATGCACGTTGGCTCCATCTTTGATGTGGGCAGAGGTACGTCTCCTATTAAAACTGGAACCGGAGCGGCCAGCGTCTGTAGGAACGCCGTACTCGCTGGGAACCGTGATAGAAGGAGGTCGGGCAGCGGTTTGCTGCGACCAAGGTAAGTAGTTGATTTTTCTGTCAGCATAGCCGCTATGTTTCCGTGCGGCTATGCCGACAGAATTGTGGGGAGCCGTGACACAGATCTCTTACCAATCTGTGCACTCCAACACCTCACCCAGATCGGTCTCCCATTGGTCTGCATAGCGTAGTGCCCCTTCTTTATCGGTTTCTGTGCTAATGTGGTTATAAAGTAATGTGATTTGTTTGGGTTGTGTGGTTTCATTAAAACACAGTTTTTCAAAGGTCATTTGTGCTGAAGCTGCTGCCCTAACTTCTGTCCTTTGTGCAAAATCTTGAATTTGTAAGTATCCAAAGTAATTGAGTGTGTTGAGTGGGGCTAGAGTGTTCAGATGGTCCTGATTTACATATAGGTGAACAGATCTTTGTAATCCCATTGTCTCTATCCCTCTATAATCTCTAGCCTTCATCCCTGGTGGGAAAACTCTGTTCCTAAACACTGGAGTCATAGGTGACGGGAGGTCGCGACGGGATTGATCCCATAATTGTATGGAGTTGAGGATAGCTGGGTTTGTGGTTCTCAGGATGGCCCGTTGGTTCCTTGGAACCCATATGTAGAACTGGGGAAGATCCATCCCTGTCATCAGGGATTCCAGGTCTACCCAGCGTCTTCTATCAGGAAGTGTGTGCCACTGCATAATCTGTGTTAGTTGTGCCGCCAGGTAATACTGAAAAGGTGGGGTAATCCTAGTCCCCCTCTTGGTTTTGGGCGGTACAAGAGACTGCGAGCTAATCTTGGGTGTTTGTTTTGCCCTATAAATTTATACATAATAAATTATAAATTAATTGCCCTTTGTATGTCAGCTAGGTCTCCCGGGTATCCCTCACTGGTAGTGATTGGAGTAAATATAATAGTCATGGTAGCATGTTCATTTTAATTGAATGTATGCGCCCCAACCAGGAAATAGGTCTATCTGTTCACTGGTTTAACTCTCTGTATAGTGTTTGGAATATGGGGGTATAATTGCGAGCAAACAAGGTCTTGGGGTCCACTGTTAGGCGAATGCCCAGATACGTAAATTCCTCCATGTTTATTTTGAGGTGGTATTGGCTGCAGATGAGTACCCTGTCTGGGGTTGTCAGGTAAAAGGGCATGGCCACCGTTTTATTGTAGTTAGTTTTGTAGCCTGCCAAATATCCGAAACGGTCTAGTAGTGTCATTAAATGATGTGAGGATTCTAATGGGTTCTGGAATGTTAGAAGTACACCATCACATCCCTCCCCCCCCCCCGCACTCCCCCTGGATACTGGGGTGCTGTCTGATAGCTTGTAAGAGTGGCTCTAATGTCAATGCAAACAATACTGGGGTCCTGTCTGGTCCTGTTATCTGAGGAGAATAGGGTTCTTGTTGGTCCTGTTATGAGAGTATGGGCTTGTAAGTCCATGTAGAGGGCCTTTATTGCTGTCACAAAGGGCTCTGGGAACCCCTGAAATCGGAACAGGTTGAATAGGTACGGCCACAGCACCCTGTTAAATGCCTTCTCTTTGTCTAATGAGAGCGACAGAGAAGGCACCTTAGACTCCACCATGTACCACATCAGTTCCACTCTCACGTCAGTTATTTTCATACAGTTGTCACCCAGGTATAAAGCCCACCTGGTCTGGGGGGATCAATCATGGAAGGAGGGGTGTGAGTCTGGATGCCAACATTTTTGCGAATACTTTGAGGTCAGTGTTGATGTGTGATATCGGTGATATCGAATGGGATACATCTTCAAGTGAGAGTTCTTTTATTGAGTGTCTAAGTCGTTAAGTTCTCTCAGTTTAGTGTTAATTGGATTGGTTTTATGTTGTTGCTCAGCTTTCCGTAGAGCTGATTGCAACTCCAGTAGTAATTTTTTTTGGTGTGCTTCTTATGTGTGGCTATTTTTATGAAGTGTTCACGGATGACAGACTTGTGGGCTTCCCATACCATAGTGGGGTTCATGTACTTTTTGAGAGTCGTTCGGGTTGCGTCTTGGATAGTTTCATCTTTTAGGAGGTTGGTGTTAAGTCTCCATGTCCAGTTTGAGTTGTATTGAAGCTTGCCTAGGGTGACCGTTATGTCCGCATGATCTGACCAGGTAATGTTGTTTATTTCTGAGTGTATTGTCTTGTCCATCCCCGTGTCATTTAGAAATATATGGTCTATTCTAGAGTATGTGTTATGGGGCGTAGAATGAAAAGTCTCTTGTGTACGGTTGCTGTAGTTGCCATACGTCTAGCAGTCCTGTGTGTGTCAGGAATGTTTGTAGCAATTTGTCTTGTCCCCCTCGTCCCTGCGACCTCACAGTGCCTGGTTTTGAGCTGCGGTCAACATCCGGACATGGTACTGCGTTAAAATCTCCCCGTACCATAAGCACTCCTCCCTATACGCCGGAAACCAGTGTCTCTAAATTTGCCCAGAACATTGAATCTGGCTCGTTGGGGGCATATACGATGAAGATGTGTATTTTAGTATTATCGAGGGTGCCTCTGATGTAGAAGTATCGCTGTCTGGATCAGACTGGGTGACTATTATTTGGAGTGGGCTCCGTTTGTGAACCAGGATTGCGACCCCCGCTCGCTTGCCTATCATTCTTGCCTCATATACTGTTTATGTCTTATTAGTCAATCTGACTGGAGCTGACCTGGGGAGGTGTCTCCTGCAGTAGTGCAATATCAACTTTTTTTAGCTTTTACATCTCTTAGAAGCAGTCTGCGTTTGTTTGGGGAATTTAGTTCTTTGACATTAAATGATTGTACCTTCAATGTCATGATATTGTGTATTGAGATTCATCTTAGCAATGGCGGTGCGCTTCCTGAGGGACTTAGCAGTGATTACAGGGATAGAGCGCGGAACAGGTCTGGAGTAGGGACTTTTGCACTCCTCTCTGGTGATGCGGACGGCTGTCGTATACTAGTCTGGGGTTAGAGATCATTCGAGTGTAGGATAGATTCAGAGTTAAAGAAAACAGTTTGAGAAAGATACTCCTAGGCCCACGTAATTTTTATGTAGGAACGAGATGCAAGCTTGTTCAATACCAGTACATAAAGATGGGGCCAGTTAGTGGTTGACCCCTGGGGTCCAGTGGGGGGCTATACCGTTAGGGGTGGCACAGCCAGGAGTGGTCAAGGCTGTCTCTTGAGATGGGCTCCTGTCTTCTCCGTCATCTGCACTCTTCAAGGGCTTAACGGTTAACTCAGACCCTATAGGAGACTATATCCCTGCGTTGGTGTTATCAGGGTAATCTGGTGCCTGTAAAAGGCTAACATTCGCCCCATTTTGGATTGTCAATATTTTTGTTGGGTGTTTGGTACAACTGAAGAAGTTTTTTTTTTTTTTTTTGTACCAAGCGTCCTGTGACATACAGACATATTCATCCATTTCCCCTTACCGTCCCCTGAGTGGGATTTAGATAGTTTGTGGGACTGGGCACTAAAATGGCAGATTAAATTTAATGTAGAGAAATGCAAAGTTATGTACTTCGGGGTCAAGAATGCACAAGCATCTTTTCCCCTAAATGGTAGTGAATTAGGGATAACCACACGAGAAGGATTTGGGAATTGTTAGAGACAACAAATTAGGCAGCAATATGCAATGTTAATCTACAGTTGCTAAGACCAGTAAGGTTTTGTCATGTATAAATAAGTGCATAAAATCTGGGATGAAAATATAATTTTGCCTCTTTATAAATCGCTGGTAAGACCACACCTTGAATATGCTGTGCAATTTTGGGCACCTGTTCTAAAGAAGGATATAGTGGCACTGGAAAAAGTGCAGAGACGAGCTACAAAATTGATAAAATGAATAGAGCATTTTAGTTACGAAGAAAGGTTAAAAAATTTAAATTTCTTTAGTTTGGAAAAAAGGCGCCTCAGAGGGGATATGATAACATTATACAAATATATTCGGGGCCAGTACAAACCATTATCTGGAAATCTATTCATAAACAGGGCTATACATAGGACACCAGGTCACGCATTTAGGCTGGAAGAAAGGCAAAGAAAAGGTTTTTTTACAGTAAGAGTGATAAGGATATGGAATTATCTGCCTTAAGAAGTAGTTTTATCAGAGTCCATATAGATGTTTAAACAAAAAAACTTTCAAAAACATAACATACAGGGATATAATTTCTAATTAGTGGGGTAATAGCTGCTTGATTCAAGGAGATACCTGACTGCTATTTTGGGGTCAAGAAGGAATTTTTCCCTAGTTTGTTGCAAAATTGGAAGCACTTCAGACAGTTTTTAAAAAATTTTTTTGGATCAACAGTAAAAACATATGTGAGGAAGGCTGAACTTAATGGACGCAAGTGTCTTTTCAGCTATATAACTATGAGTGAAAGCGGTGGTCCCGTATACCATCTCCCCCACCCCTCCAGTCCCATCATATTAGCCCCCCCAGTATGGCTTAGCTGCCTTGGTCTAATCTGGCCAAGTGGTATCAGAGTCTCTCTTGGGTCAGCAAACTCTGGCAGCTGTGCACCGAGTGATCTCCACTGTCGGGTCAGTTGGTTTCATGATGGTTCTCCTGCCTCATACCACTCTCTCAGGAGTGCCTGGGGCCGTTCTGGTTGGTCCTGGTAAGGTGAAAGCCGTCGGTGGTGTAATGGAGAGTTTGTCGAGGAATTTCATCAGGTTGTTTCCTGGTAGGTAGGTATACCTTCTTCCCACCTTAAAGGCCACTATTTTGAATGGGTGTCCCCAGGTAAACTGGATCCCATTGTGACGCAGTACATCTGCCATCGGTTTCCTGTCGCGTCTGCGTTGTAAGGTGCCTGTAAAGAGATCTTGGTACAGAGCAATTGTGGTACCTTGATATGTGAGCTCATGATCTCTGTTGTATTTCAAGATGGCTTCCTTGGTGGTATAGTAATGGATAGCATAATTTCCCATGGCGCTTGGCCCTCTGTTCTACATGCTTGCAGGGCTCTGTACGCTCATTCTATCACCATTCTTTCTCTTGGGATCTCAGGCAGCAGGTACTGGACGTATTCCTCCATTTTCTGCCGTAGTGGTCCTTCATTAGATGTTTCCAGTAGGCCTCTTATGCACAAGTTATTGCGCCTCAATCGCTTGGATAAATCCTCTATTAGCATCTTCTGGTTGCAGAGCTGTTTCATCAGGGTGGAGTGCTGCACTACTAAGTTGTGTGCCTTCACTACTGTTTCAACCCTGTGTTCTAGGTCAGCTGTGCACTTCCACAGGGACTGAATCTCAGCCTTGACTTCCTGAGATTTGTGGGCAATTTCGCCTGCAGGAGCTGCTGACTCTGATGTGTCCATCACCAGATAAACCATTTCCTACCAGTTTTATTTTTTTAACCGGGGTTCTGACTACTTAGAATATAGGGGTACCAGGGAACCCATACATCATAAACACCACATAATGCTGTAGTGGTTATGGTTCTAAGAGTCTTCTCTTTTTAAAGTGAAACTGCATCTTAAAGCCAGTTATAGATGGTACTGTGATGTTTCTACGCAAGGAATGTACGAGTAGTAATATTCTTTGAGACAAGGTTTTGAAAAATATCTGGGCAACTGTATAGGTTAAACAAAAACAACAAAACAAAAAACAAGATGTATCGCTTCTCTTCCAGTTAACAATAAATAGAGAAAAATAACAATATAAGTTCAATTATACCCATATGTATGACAGTAAAAGAATTCCACGATCCAAACGTAAAAACAGGATAGTATCACAAATCCCTAGAAAGGCTCACATTACAAATCAAACAGAATATAAAAACAATCAATGGTGAGAAGGTTTTATGCAAACAGTGCAAAGCTCACCCAATACGATCAGCTATGCGTTGTTATTTCAACTGCATTTTTTTTAAATTCCCAAACTGCATGGCGGGCAGTATCTCTCCCTTTCTGTGAGATTAGGGGCCCCACAATTTACTACTATGCTTTTTAATGCATTGTGTGATGTTGTATATATATATATTTTGTTACATACATAACCTGCCCATTATATCAATGAGAGAAGTAATCTGTGCATTACTCAGGGTGATATAATTATTCCCATTATAAAAAACTGCCATTGTTCGGGGGTCCTAATTCCAAGACAGGATATTTCAGGAAGGTGATTGCTATACACAGCTGCCAATATTTTAAGTTGGCTCTTTCCAGATGAAGTCCTGATGAAGTCTGAATAATTAGACAAATAGCAGCTGCTGCTTGATAGTGTAATTCCCACTAATACCAGGCAGACTGGGGCATGTTTATCCAGGTGCTGCTCTAAAATTAAAGAAACCCTAACATTAATTCTCACTTTAACCATAAATATAACTTAAAGGACCACTATAGTGCCAGGAAAACATACTCGTTTTCCTGGCACTATAGTGCCCTGAGGGTGCCCCCACCATCAGGGTCCCACTCCCGTGGCACTGAGGGGGGAGGAAGGGGTTAAACTTACCTCTTTCTCCAGCGCCGGACGGGGAGCTCTCCTCCTCCTCTCTGCCTCCGGCTGAATGCGCATGCGCAGCAGGAGCTGCGCGCGCATTCAGCCAGTCTCATAGGAAAGCATTTACAATGCTGTCCTATGGACGCTGGGGTCTTCTCACTGTGATTTTCACAGTGAGAAGCACGCAAGCGCCTCTAGCGGCTGTCAAGAGACAGCCACTAGAGACTGGATTAACCCTAACATAGACATAGCAGTTTCTCTGAAACTGCTATGTTTATAAAAAAAAAAGGGTTAACCCTAGCTGGACCTGGCACCCGGACCACTTCATTAAGCTGAAGTGGTCTGGGTGCCTATAGTGGTCCTTTAACACAAGCACATTTTAGCGCTTAAAAAATTATGCTAAATAAATGTGGTGGTATACCCCCGAATATGGGTTTCTATTGCCTAGGTTGTCCCTTCCCAGTGTATACAGCTCCAGAGTAATTATGCCCTCCTGCACAAGATACTACTGTCCCACTCAAACACTAGGTGAGACATCTGGGTAATAATTGAGTCAGGTCTCGATTAAACTATCTCCCAGACACAGAAAGCCAAATACCCAAAACCCCAGAAAACATATAGAATATAGTGAAGCACCCCCACATGTCATAAATCCCCGGAAAGGTCTCTCTGGAACGTCCATTCTGTCCAAATATTGCCCAGATCAGACATGGTTAGCCCGAATTATATGGAAGTCAAACGTTCAGTGGATCAGACGCTAGCCTCTCATCTGGTGCAGAGTTCCAGATTGCTGGGTAGAGTTCCCCGGTCACCTTAAAGCACGGCACTTTCTACAATACATGAAGCATGTCCTGGGACCAAAAGCGCTCTGATCAAAGTTTAAGCGGACCGCGGAACTCCTGGTAATTCCAAGTTGCTCCCAGTCGGTCGCACCATGTCTCTGCGTCCCTTCTGGTAGAAGATAGACAGCTCTGGGCAGTCAGGAAAGGGGCGCTAGGCTGGGAGACATGCTATGGAGGGTTAATCCATAGTGACATAGTCCTTTTTGAGGAGGTGGAAAGTTGGAGAGTCCTGTATCCCAGCTGGGTGAGGGCCAGTCACAATAATATGCACATATTGATAATCAGGCAAGAAAACAAGATAATTGAAGAGTATGCTAGCTTTAGTGTACTAATAATCTTAATTTTAGTAATGACAGGAGGCGAGTATTTTGCATTAAGCTCTCTTTACTAACTCCATAGCAGCAAAGAAAAGTGAAAACAATAACCAATCAAAATGCAATAGGAAGTATAGTATTCACAGTGAATAGGCTCATCTTTCGGAAGCGACATCACAGAAGTATAAAGTTCGAAACCATAATATCTGGAAACTTGCACCAACGGGTGACCATGCAACAAAACGAAAATCCTCATGGAATAAATGTTGATCCAAATGGGTCCATCCTGAAAACGAACCGCAACACAACGAGTTTAAACTGAAAAGAGAACGTGAAATAGGTTAGGCACCGGTCTTTAGACTGGGTGAAACAATGGAAGTAACCCCATAACATAAGCGATCTCCGCCAAAGATAAAATCCATCGTATTCATCTGGCGAGTGTGGTAACCGAGATGGGAATGTGTGGTCTAACGTAAAACACCAAAAGTTGTCCCGAAGTGGAGACCCGAAGCGTGGAAGTAACCTCAATATACCGTCGTAGTGTAGAAACAACGCAGAGTTGAGAATCAGTAACGAAAAAGGGGTAGAAAGAGCGACGTAGAGTCTGACTTCGTACGACATGATACTCGAAAGGTAACTCCCTCCAGAGAAACCGAAAAAGCGTCAATGTCGAAGGCCCGTACATCCAATACACTATGGAACAAAACAAGGCAAAGAAGGAGCGTACATTTAGCCGAGAGTTGTCGGAGAGAGAGTCTGTCGTTAGCCGGCCAATCTCTCAAAAACTGTAGGACAACCTCGACGTCCCATAAGCGTGAGTATTTGGGTTCCGGTGGCCTCTGCAATCGAATGCCCCTCAGGAGTCGACATACCAGCGGGTCCTTCCCCACGGGGATCCCCAGAATAGGGACGTGTGCCACCGAAATAGTGGAACGCACGACGTTGAGTGACCGGTAGGAATGACCCGTAGAGAACATATAGGAAACATATTTCAAAATGGAAGTTTTAGGGGCAGTAAACGGATCAAGGTCTCATTCCATGCACCAAGAGGACCAGGTATTCCAAGCTGATAGGTAACATCATCTGGTTCCTGGTGCCCAGGAATCACATATGAGGTCCCTAGCAGTCTGCGAAAGCTCGCCGACCTGCCAGGCACCCGGAAAGAGACCAAGCCACCAGGGTGAGACGATCGTCCAGGATGAGTGGATGAGGGTTCCCCTTCGGATCTGTGAGGAGCATCGGATAAGATGGTATGAGTAGGGGATCCATGTAGGACCACTAGGAGGTCCGGGAACCAGGGTTGGCCCTGCCATAGGGGGGCGATGAGAAGTATAGACGCACGTTGGTTCTTTAGGTATTAAATCGTCTTCGCTATCATGGCGAAGGGGAGAAAAGCGTATGCTCCCGTGGCTGGCCATTGTTGGAGAAATGCATCTACTGTCCTGCTCTCTGGATCCTGGAGCCAGCTGAAGTAATCCCGTGTCTGTTTGTTGTTGCGTGACACAAACAGATCCAGGTGAAAGGGGCGTGTTCCCGAAGATGGCCCGCCCGTTCCATGCCTTCATGCTGTCAAACCACCATCCGAGTTCCTCCTTGATTTCTTCCGTTACCGGGACCGTTTGGTCGTAGGAAGGGTTCTGGCGAAGAAAGGAGGTTTTCAGGCATTGCATCGCCCTGTAGTTGATGTGGATAGTAGGCCCACTATCAGCAAATTACCCTGCGTAATTCCTTTCGGATGGCCGTGATCTTTGATGTTGGTAGTCGTAGTGTGCTGGACTTGGAGTCTATCTCGAAGCCCAAGAATTGTACTGACTGAGCCGGAGATCTTGCCGACTTCAGGTAGTTTACCACGAAGCCTAGCGATGTTAGGAAGTCCGTGGTATAGCGCGTGTGTTGATTCAGTCTGGACCTGTCGGAGCAAAACAGTAGGAGGTCGTCCAGGTAAATAATGCACCGAATTCCTTGTGCCCGAAGATGTGCAACTATTGGCTTCAGCAATTTGGTGAAACACCACGGGGCTGAGCTGGGGCTGAAAGGGAGGCATGTGAATTGCCAGGGGAGACCTTGCCACCGAAATCTGAGGAATCAGCGGCAGGATAGGTGGACAGGTACTGACAAGTATGCGTCCTTGAGGTCCAGTCTCTATCCTGAACGAGGACCCTTAAAAGATGGATGCCTTCCATCTTGAAGTGCCTGTACATAACATAAGCGTTGAGCCGGAAATCTCTGGTTTTCTTTTTTACAGGAATATATTGCTGAAGAAACCTCAGGAATCGTGAGCGGGCTCGATCGCACCCTTCGATAGCAGTTCCTGTAACTTGACCTCGATGAG